CTCCACGTTCAATGCCATGAGGCCCGGATCCTAATCGATCCAGGGAGGATCACATCACAAGCGAGTGGAAGCAGAAGAGTGAATGTTGAAGTAGATGGTCGGACATGGTCGGAGCAGATGGCAGCCGTTAGTCGGACCGTGGCTTTGATGACAGGATGATGGAAACCTTCAGTCCATCCAAAGCATGGGCCCGAGGATGAAGAACACCTTCCGATTTCATTATAAAATACTGTAATATGCTAGAAGCTTTTATTATATTATAGTATACTATGGCGCAGTGACGTGTGGCCGCTGTGCGCAAAGCTGTGCCATGCAATGCTGCCGGTCTGAGGTGGGTGATGGACCAGAGATGCTGAAGCGGTATGCTATCTATCCGACGGTTGAGGTCGTGAGTCCACCCTTCGATGCCACTGACTGTCACTGGTACGTTAGAAGGGGTTTCATGCCCCTAAACCCTAAACCCTAACCCCTTCGGATCCGGTTTTGGATCCTGACTCGATACAGTGTCACAGCTAAGTGTGCCGGTGTACCCAGCTTTTCGTACTGGCTCACAAGGCTGCATCAGTGCACAAGGAACACTCCACATCGGTATAGAGGGCGCCCGAGGATCCCAGAAGCCTGATCATCTAGTGCATCTAGAATACTAGACTGTAAGACACTAGACTGCACTATACTATATTATAACATACTCTAATATACTGTTATATACTTTGAGAGACCATGATCTACCATAATCCTCAATGCCATGCTATAGTAGACTGTACTATAATCAGTACACTGTAGTTCTGGGCTCTCAGACTCCCCACTCCCCCAACAAAAAGCTCCCAGGCCAAGTCTGTCTGAATGTTACTGCTGTTCGGTCCATGGCAAATGTGGCGGGATCGGGCTGTGCTGGAGCCACCCAGCTGCGGCATTGGGCCGGAAGCTCAGAAAAGCCCCTTGTTACGGTTGATGATATAAATCCTGCATTACCCAAAATAAGGAATATACCATAAATCCCATAGTTAAGGGTCCTTGACGTAATGCAGGATTTACATCATCAGCAGTAGGGTTTAGGGTTTGGGGTTCGGGATTGGGAGTTTAGGGAAGTACTGTAAGGGGTAGGCAGGCCAGTGTCAGCAAAACTAAAACAAACGGACGTGCATTGCTGTGCTGGTGGTGACTGGCTGTACTTCGTTGCCTGGGGCCATGCTGCCAAACCGCCACTACAAACCCTAAGCCCTAAACCCTAAACTCACTACTACGACGGAAAAAGGTGCTCAAAAAAAGAAAAAACCCACTACGACAAGGAGTATGCCTTCAGCAAGGAGGAGCTGCGGAAGCCGCTCTCTGCTAGAGCTGGAAGGCGCAAACGAGCGATTCGACACATTGCGTAGGAGACCTCGGCCTTAAGGACCCTAAACTATGGGAATGATGGTATATTCCTTACCCAGAATACGGAATATACCTTAATTCCCATAGTTTAGTAACCATGACAAGCAAGTGCTTGTCGTTCAAAGTCACGTGCAAGGGGAAGTTTACGTAGTCTATGTTTTTTTTTCAGCTTTGTCTGAAGCCATCCCATGTTACAGGAGCCCTCGCCGGAGCCTTGGGTGTCGGACGTTGCGGCATCAGATTTTCAACTGCTGGAACTGTCTTGAAGTGGAGCTGCCCCTGAAGTTGCTCAAGGTGTCAGCGTGAGAGATAGGGGATGTGGTTGTAGGATCAGGCTTGAGATTATCGTCGTGCTCTAATACCAAGCTCTACGTAGTACTACTAAGTCGTGTGTTATACTGTGCCTTTGGCACTGAGACTAGCCGCTTCGAGGGTTTTCCCGAGTCCTTGCAAGATGAGTTCCAAGAAGACTGGGCTGACTGAGAGCCATGGCAAAGGCTCCTCAAGGGCCCCGAGCTGAGACTGTAGGCCATGGCATGCCGCATGACACCCCTTCTTCCCCGCCCCCCCGCTCTGGGTGCTGCTCTTCTGCATGAGTCGGTTCGGATTGCCCACCCTCCTCCCCATGTTGCACATCTTAACAGCCATGAGAATCGAAACACCAGACCACCCACACCTCTGATGGTCAAGTTGAGACATGGCAATGATGTCAAGATCCAGAATTGGCAGCAGTTACGGGGACCGGCACCTAGGCACGCCATGCTAAGAGACACAAGACGTGTGTCTCTTATCATTGTTGACATGCCGCCGTGATATCAGATCCCCAAACGACAACAATTTCGCAGGATGGTGCGCACAGCCCACCAAATCCCCATGACTGTCGGCGCTTTCGAAGCCAGGTGGCTAGACAAAACCGCGGCTGTCACACAGAATATCCGCTTGCCTCACGCCCGACCAGAGTGATGGGGGGGTGCCATGCTTGGCCGCTTGTGGGGATAACAGGTGGGCACCCCTTTGCACATATGTCCTTGACGTTGATTGTTTGGCCTCAGCCAATCTGCCATCAAGGTGCTTCTGAGAAGCAGTGTGTCATGTTGTGGCAAACTCCCATGCAGTCATCGTTGCTGTTCGAGGCTTAGCTGGTAGGCTCATAATATGTTGATCAACTCCAGCGGTCGAAGGCAGTAAAGCGTGCAGCCTTCAGCAACAGTCAGTAGGGACAACACGACGATCTCGAATCAGCAATGGCATCCAAAGCCCTTGTCGTGGATTCGTCGCACTTTGGCAGTCGTGGCCTCAGCGGTCGTCAGTGCAATGCACTGACACGGTCGACACCCAGATCAGATGCCACAGTTTGAGGTTCGAGACCCGGTTCTGCCGAAGAGAACAGGCCCCTTATTTTTGCAGCTCCACTGTGCAAACTTGCATGTTGCGACGAGGGTGAGCTCATAGTAACCCTTATGGTAACCCTTATCATATCCCGTTTCGGCAACCTTATGTAATCTCCTTACATACTTATATCGTAAAACCCGAAACCCTAACCGCAAGGCCCTAAACCCTGAACCCTACTGTTGATGATATAAATCCTGCATTACCTTAAGGACCCTAAACTATGGGAAGTACAGTATATTCCTTATTCTGGGTAATGCAGGATGTATATCATCAACCCTAGTAAAGAAGCGTAGCGAAGAGGATCCGGCGCTTGGCGCTCCACTTTGCCCGACCTCTCGTTGCTGCGACCGCTGCGGCTTTGCCGGACGCGCATGCTCCTCGGCAGAAGGAGGTTTAGGGCTTTGGGGTTTAGGGTAAGGTTCCCTTTGGATTGCGTGTGTTTCTGTTTATGGTTTTGGTTATGATGCATTGCGATGTCGATACTTGCTTTTAGTTAGATGATTAGAATGTTAGTTTGAGTATTTTGACTAGCGTTGTTATATGTATCACCCGCGTGGCAGCAGCGGTTACTTATTAACCTTCTATTCCTAATTCTGTCATGACTGCTATTCTTACTTTTGTTGTTCTTCTTTGGGCTGGAAGTGCCTCCCAGTTGTTCCGAGGTGAAGTCATGGACCAAGGGACTCATCGCCCATCTTATCCTCGTCCCTCCGTGGGTCTTTCCACCAGGCTCGACGCTTGCGCATAACATCACGGTGATCGTCAGCATCTTAGTACTTGTCGTGGTCGTGGTCGTGGTAACAGTAGCGGTGGCGGTGGCGGCAGCGGTAGGGGTACTGGTATAAAAGTAGTAGTAGTAGTAGTAGTAGGAGTAGTAGTAGTAGTAGTAGTAGTAGTAGTTTGTAGGTGGTAGTAGTAGTAGTAGTAGTAGTAGTGGTGGTAGTAGTAGTAGTAGTAGTGGTGGTGGCGGCAGCAGCAGCAGCAGTAGTCTTCGTCGTCGTCGTGTTGTTCGTAGTAGTCGTAGTAGTCGCAGAAGTCATAGCATTCATAGCAGTAGTAGCGGTAGTAGTGGTAGTCGTCGTTGTAGTAGTAGAAGAAGTACCATCAGTATTGTTTGCAGTACTTGTCGTAGTCGTCATCGTCTTCCTAGTAGTGGTGTAGTAGTAGTCCAAGTGGCCGTCGTCGTCGTGGGCGGCGCGGAGTAGTAGTTGTAGCAATCAGTGGTAACCAGTAGTTGCGCTCTGTTCGTAGTAGTTCCTCTTGTGCCTCCTTTTCCTAAACCCTAAACCCTAAACCCTAAACCCTAAACCCCAAGTGTCAGGGATGCTTCTGGGGTCCCTGCTCACCGCTGGGGCGCCCTTCGGAGCCAAAGGCATCATCGCCAGCTTGGGCTCCCCGGCTCAAGCGGAGCATACCATCTCAAACAACACGTGAATAACAACAGCAATAACAGTAAAAGCAATAAGAATCAGAGACATAATGATGATGAAAAGTAGTAGCAGTGGTAGTAGCAATGCAAATGTAATAGTAGCAACAGTAAAAATTACAGCAATAATGCTCATACTCGTAGTGCTCGTAATATTGGTACTGAAAAAGATACGCAGTACTAACCTGATTCACGATGTCATCTCTAGAGGTATTGGTAAACATGATAAGAACAGCAGCAATACTATGACAATCAAAGTAACTAGATTAATGCCAGCAATGCCGCAGCCTCGTGTGAACACATACGAGAACCATAGTAGCATGAACACTGCTGTATTATCATCATAATAATAAGAATGCCTGTATTGCTGGTAGCAATAGCAATGATACTACCAGCACGTCGGTGTCCATCCGTGTGATTTTTACCGTGCATGTACGTACATGTGTGCATGTGCTTGGTCTCTCTGCATCTCTGTATCTGTCCCTCCATCTCCATTTCTCTCTCTCTCTCTCGATTGTCTCTGCTTCGGGTATAATGTGGTGTAGTGTAGCATGGCCTAGCATAGTATAATATAGCATAGCACAGTATAGTATAGTATAGCACAGTATAGTATAGTATAGCACAGGATAGTATAGGATAGCAAAGTAGTGTACAGCATAGTATAGTATAGCATACCTAGTATAGTACAGCACAGCATAGAATAGTATAGCCAGCATAGCCTAGTGTAGCACAGTACAGCATAGTGTAGTATAGTACGTTGTCTCTGCCTGCATTCGTGCAGAACTTCCAAGGAGTCGGGACCGGTCTCATGGCCGGGCCGAAGACACTGCGACCCGCTCCTTGCCCCAAAAAATGCACGGCTGACACAGTCTAAGGGTTTAGGGTTAGCAAACAGGATTTTATTTCCGAATCTCGGATATGGCTCTGTGGCATCAGCTCAGGTTCTTTGTGCTTTTGTTATGCTACTGGCAGCAAGAGCTAAGAAGGGTGTCGTGCCTTAGCTGCAGAGATGAAAGATCTCCGCGGTGTGACATTTTTGCGCAGTGTGACTTTAGGACGCTTGCGCTTCAAGCGTTTTGTGGTAGCACCATATGTATCGGAAAGTGCCAGCGCATCTTTGGCTGCCGTTTGCTCTCACCAACAGACAAGAGGCGATGGCTGGTGCCATCTTTGCTTCGTTCCTCACATGGCTGGTCACTCGATCAGGCCGCTCTGACTCGCAAAGGCTACTGGCTGGGCTAGGATGGCAGAAAGGCTGCTGTGTCCACGTGGAATGTTGGCTTAAGCCCTATTGGCCGAGGAACTATTTCTCCACAGCCGTGGTACTTCAACTTCATCAGCACATGGGTCAAGGAGTGACCAGCCTTGGTTGCAACTGCAAACAAGTTGTCAGATGGATCCATGCTGTTCCAGGACTTTTATACCGAGACGGGCCTTCGGGGTGCCTTGCACGACATACGGCCCGCAAAGAGCTTCTTGGGCTTCCACCCACATGGCTACTTGATTGAAGCTGTTCCGCAGAGACGCGCAGCACGCTAGGCTTGGTCCGAGAGTGTCCAGTGACTTTGTGACGGGGTTGCCGCAGGATGCCTATGTGCTGGGTTCACGATCAATGGCACCTACAACCCAGATTTCATGCGGGCTGCCACTCGAGTGGCATGGCTGTGTGACAACAATCTCAGGCGGGGAGATGTTTCCGGTGTTTCCGATTTGATGCAGCAGTACAAGTCTTGTACTACAAGACATTTTGCACAGTTTTTCTTAGATCTCTGGGCCCTCAGCCCTAAACCCACCCTTTCTTGGACCCGTTGCCCGCCGAAGGCATAAAAACCCTGGCTTTCAGCTGATGAGTGAGGCCTACCAGGCTGAGGACAGCTTGCAAGAGCCAGAGTGCCGATACCAGGGTAGGGTTTAGGGTTTGAGGTTTAGGGTTTAGGCAAACCCTCGATTAATAAGCCCCCTCTCTCCAAGGGCTTCAATATGAGAATGTCTATTGCAATCCCTTTAGGGTAGGGGGGATTTATCAATCCTTGTATTCAGACCGTTAAAGAGATGGGGTTTGTGAAACAGGGGTCTGCATTAGCCTATGTCCGGTGCTTGTCTCTTCGTTTGCCAGAGCGATCCTCCGAAGGACAGAGCCATTGAAGCTTGCGATGCTGAAGGCCGTGGCCTACCACCACCACTTACTCCTACTCCCACTCCTACTCCTACTTCTACTCCGACTCCCACTCCCACTCCCACTCCTACTTCTACTCCTACTCCTACTCCTACTCTTACTCCAACTCCTACTCCTACTCCTACTACTACTACTACTACTACTAGTACTCCTACTCCTACTAAACTACTACTACTACTACTACTACTACTACTACGACTACCTACTACTACTACTACTACTACTACCACTACTACCTACTACGACTACTACTACTAACTACTGCTACTAACTACTAACTACTAA